AGTAATTTATATATAGAACCGCGTCACGTTTCACTATGATCATTCTTCAGTTGACTAGAGAATCATCAATTAATTGACTTTTTATTTTTACGCTCAACGAATATAAATTTTAAAGAAATTTTTAAATTTTCGTTGAACGTAATATGCGAAAGTCACTTAATAAAATGTTCTCCGATTTAGATGAAATTTTCAGAATATATACATTTTGATCTCCTGAATAAATTTCACTTAATAAGGTAGGTCGATTTACTTAGTAAAATTTTGACATTACTATGTAGCAACAATTATCATTTATAGGGTAGCTTCTTTTGGGTAAAAGACATTTTTTACTTTTTTTATCTAAAAAAGAAAAGTAGCTTTTTTCAGCATTGCTTATTTTTGGAGATATATGGTAGTATAAAATCATGTTTCCTTTTAATATGTTCAATTCATCACAATACCCACATTTACTATAATACCCACACTCACCTTATGTTTAATTCGGGTCTGTATCATTTCACTGACAATCACTTCACTGACATCTTAGTTCACTGACATTTAATTCCGACAAGTTCATTTCACCAACAATTAATTTACCAACAAGTTCCTTTTATCGACAAGTTTATACTAACCTTAACTCTAATTCTGGCCTGATACTAATGATGATGACCAGAATTACGTTGTCTGTGAAATAAGCTGTTGGTAAAATAAACTGTCAGTAAATGAACTTGTCGGTAAATTAAATATCGGTGAACTAAGATGTCAGTGAGTTGAGTGTCATTGAAGCAAGCCACACTGATTTAATTCTATATATGCAATTTTTCTTAATTTTTCTCAAAATGTATATCACTAAAAATCTGGTTCAAATGAATTATACTTAGAAAGAGTTGACTGTATTTACTTTGTAAAATGAATAAAAAAAAATGCACATTTTTAATTACATAATTTTTTAAAAAAATCAATTTTTTAATTTTTAGAGGTCTGCCAGCTTGGATAAAGGATTTATTAACTAAAAATTATACTTGGTTAAAATTTCCTTGTAAGAATGGTGATTATATATTATTTGGTGGAGAAAATAATCTTCAAGTCCTTAGTTCGCATACAAATATGAATGTAAATCCTGATCATAAATATAATTATTATTATAAATAGCTTAACAAAAATACAAATGAAGAAATATGGGTATCAATGCTACCAGGTCATCAAATAATTGGCAAATTTGGTAGAAAATATGCTCGTTTGTATATTGGAAACACATCAGATAAGTTGCTAAATTTTACTTAGGAATTATTTAATGATGTAAATATGACAAACTTAATTGAAACCCAAACCAACTCTGATTTTTTTCAAGTTTTTAAAAATATTTTTAAAATCAGGATCAATTTCAATTCCTGAGATTCTTGGATATCAAGAGCCATGTATTATTCAAATATTACAAGCACGAGTTAATGAAAAGTTTTCAAATTTTTTTATTCATACAAAAAAGCTACAAATAGCTAAAAAAAACTATTAATTACTATAAAAACATTAAAAAAAAGATGCAGATAAACTAACAAATAAAATATCTGAGACATCAAATCTAAATTCAACAGCCTTTATTCAACATGGATTTGAAATTGCATCTGAAGAAATTACATTAACACCATCTGAAACACAGACATTATTAATCAATTATACAAAGTTACAAAACCAAGTATATCAAGAAAGAAGAAAAGTAAAACGTGCAAAGACTACAAATGTTATAATACGTTGGAACAATCGTTTAAAACAGCTACAAGCTAAAATTAATAAAAGTAAAAATAAAGAATTATTAGAACAATGGTTAAATCAAGCTAAAAAAACAACAAATATTGGATCTACTATACTTATAAATACAGACCAGTATCTTATGACAGTATTTTTATAACTATGTATTATTTGTTATAATCAAGATTTGTTGAAAAAAAATTAATAATACATCATAGTTTGCAAATTATAATCAAATGTTGATGTTGTAAAAATGTAACTGAGTTTAACAATAAATCATCTGATATTTACTTTTCTTCTTTAGTAGCTGCAGCAGGACTAGCAGGTGGTGTAAACTATCATCAAATGCAAAACCTTTTAATTATGCTAGGCATTACAGGACAAAAT